CATGTTGGCCAGGCTGATCTTGAACTCCTGACCTCCACTGATCTGCCCACCTTGGCTTCCCAAAGTGCTGGGATTACAGGCATGAGCCACTGCACCCAGCCCATTTGAGCCTATTTCTAAGATGAGAGGACACAATCAATAGAGGGAAAGATGTTCATCAGACTAGTAGATGTAATACAAATTTTCAGGGACTGAGATTAAAAGTACAGGTCAAATAGCCTTTAAAAAGTCAGTCTCATGCCTCTTTGTTAAGAGATGGACAGATTAAAAATGGACATATCTATGGATATTAGGAGGGAAATCAGAGGGAAATAGATGAAGTTCATGTCTGACTAAATTTCATCTAAACTGAAGATAGTCATCTAATGAAATGGGAAGACTGTGATTTACTGTAGAGAATGTTCATGGTAAGTTTGGATCTGCTGCCAGAGGAATGAGAAAAGGAAGCTGAGTAAAGTAAAAGGATTCCTCAGCAGAGATGACAGCTTAGGTGATGTTAAAATCCAAAGTCACCCCTCAGCAAAGTTAAATATTTTTCTCTAGTATGGCCTGGCATTAGACAGAATGGCTGTGCTAAAAGAACAGATCAGATAGGTTCTTGAGGATATTGTCAAAAGGGAGTAATAGAATGTTCCCAGCATGACCAAGAAGGAAGTCAATTGTTACTCATTCTCGTCTTTTTCATTTAAATAAAAACTAACCAATAATGATAACATCTTGATTAGACATTTTATACAGAAAAGGAGGTTGGCAAGATCAGTAGAAGTGGTCGAAACACTGAAAGCAAAACGAACTGTTAAGAGAGAAGGCAGAAGTAAATGACAATGAATTCAGCATGGATCTCAAGAGCTTACATGTCAGTTACAAGGTAGAGCGAGCAACTAAAAAAAGTATAAATGAAACTTTAAAAGTTCGCTTTTAAAATGTTTTTGTGATATTTATCAAATTGAAAAGGGATAAATTATTTTTAAGATTGACATTCTGAAAAATGCAAATGTTTAACCAATCTATAAAAATCTTAAAATGTAAGGTACATATTTATTTCCTCTACTGTGATGTACTGAGCACCACTGGATTCTAGCCTCTGCATATCCAGCCAACAGTGAAGACAGTATCCCTGCCACCAAGAGCTTATGCTCTAGGAAAAATCTCAGGTGTTTAATAACCCCTAACCTCATCTTGAAGCATTAATTAGTTTACATAATGATCATTTAAAGATGGTGTGGACTAGAAATATTATATACTACATAAATAAAAGACATTTAAGAAAAATGTCTTTAAAAAGTGTTACTGTAATTTACGGAATCAGTCTGCATGATGCATATTTATGACAGTCCCTTCATAGGTAAAATATGACTGGAGCATAAGAGTAGTTACATCACTTTATATTCTCTTTGCTTTTCTTGATGGCAAATAGTATGCACATAAGTACTTCTCAAGGATACTAACCTGGCAGTGCCATCAGATGATGAAGTAAGGATGTAGCGATCATCTTTTGACCAGGAAAGATCATAAATGATATTGAGGTGGCCACACAATTCTCTCATGAAACGTCCAGAAGGAATTTCATATACTAATGAAAATATTTAAAAATTAGTAGGTTTCCAGACAGAAATCCTTAATCCAATAATATACAAACACATAATTTAATATTATTTAGACATAAGCAGTCTATAACAAAATTATAACCAAAGATATGTGCAGCATAACGAAAATTTCAAAATTTACTTAAGAATAGTTTTTCATTTGCTTTACATAAAAATTCACATGCAAAATTATGAGTTATAATTTTGCTACAATTGTCAATTTTTTCATCTCTTTAAAGAAATCCCCTAAGAATCTTTAATAATAAATTTATCAGTTGAATAATAATATTTACATTGCAATTCACTTAAAATATTCTATAATTTGGGCTTTCATTATTATTTTACCTGAAAATCAACTAAATGCCAACCAAAAATTTAATTATTTGAAGTAATGAGAAATTTAAATTGTGCTATTGTCAAAAGTAAATTTTAATACTAAAATGAACAGGGATAGTAATCAGGGATAGTATGGGAGTTAACAACGACTCAATCAGACACAAAAAGCACTGTGGTACTTTACTATATGTTTGAACATACAATGAAATCTAAGACAACAACACAGAAAAACAAAGTTTCCAAGCCTCTGCTTCCATCTAGTGGTAAAAATCAATTGCCCTTTAAAATACTTAGCAGTTCAGAAATAACCGCAGTCCCCGCTCATGTGCAGTTTCACTTTCTGTGATTTCAGTTACCAGCAGTCGACCACGGTCTGAAAATACTAAATGGAAAATTCCAGAAACAAATAATTCCTAAGTTTTAAAATGCACATCATTCTGAGTAGTGCTATGAAATCTCGTGCCATCTAGCTCCATCTGTCCAGGATGTGAATTATCCTGTGTCCAATGTACCCATGCTACAGATGCTAACTCTCTATCAGAAACTTAGTAGCTGTCTCAGTTATCAGACTGGTTGTCACCCAGTGCTTTTGTTCAAGTAACCCTTATTTTACTTAATGGCCCCAAAGTGCAAGAGTAATAATGTTAGCAATTGGCATATGCCAAAGGGAAACCATAAAGTACTTCCTTTGAGTGAAAAGGTGAAAGTTCTTGATTTAAAAAGGAAAGAAAAAAAGTGTATGTTGAAGTTGCTAGGATCTACAGTAAAAATCTATCCGTGAAATTGTGAAGAACAAAAAAGAGGTTTGTGCTAGTTTTGCTGTCACACCTCAAATGACAAAAGTAATGGCCTTTAGTGCATGGTAAGTACTTTGTTAAGATGGAAAAGATATAAATCTGTGGGTGGAAAGCATGAGCAGATGTGTTTCTACTGATGGCAGTCGGATTCAGCACTACTTGAGGTTTCAGGCTTCCACTGAGGGTCTTGGAACATATTCCCTACGGAAAAAGAGGGACTACTGTACTTGCGGAATAGCAAAATAAGAGTCTTAAAAAAATCTCCTCCCCATAGAAGCAGCAAAAACACTGGCAAAAACTGTCAAAAATCAACATTTTCAGAACTCTGAAAATTAAGTAAAGCTTACAAAGATTTGAAGAGTATTTAAGAAAAATGGCTGAATTTGGTAAGAACATTGAGCTTTATTATGGTGTTTTAACTTGCCATGTTCTCATTCCTGTCTCAAACTTTAAAGGAGCCTTAAAAACCAATAAAAATCAGGAGATTAACAGCCACTGGGTGGGGCAGAACAGCTCTGATGTTCCCTAAAAGCCCCATCCCCAAAGACTTCTTACTATTTGGCAGTCTGGCCCTCCAGGAAAGATCCACTCTCAGGGCCTGCCTTTATTTGACCTGGCTCACAGCATGCTCTGGGAGAACAGTCCTAACCTTAAGGTGCATGTCACAACCACCCATGGCATCATTTAATATCACAGCTGCCTGAGGCATTGATACTAAGTGAGGCTAAGAAGACGCTCACCAAAGAACTTAAAATAAAAACAAAAAACAAAACAAAACAAAACAAAAAACTGGGAATGAGATGTCCATAGGGGACACTGATAAGCTCCAAAATATTCCTGGGTATCTAGAAGGATTCCCATGCATGTATGTGAAGGCAATATGCACAACCAAGAAAGACCTAAGAGTCTTTACCTCTTACTCGGGCTGACCTGAAGTGGCTCAGCACAAACAGAAAGTAAAGCTAAGGCAGAGCTGAGGATTGCCTATTGAAGCATTGAAGCTATACCCCAACACACACAGAGTCCCTTGGCAAAGACCAGTAGACCCATCCACTCAGGTATTTAAAAATCGCTGTCTAACCACTAACTTAACCGAGCACAGACATCAACGGCCACACATGACAGAGAGTAAAGACTACAGAATTAGTCCAAAATCACAAAGCTAACTGCAAAAATAAATCCTGGTTGGGTGTGAGGGGAGAAACGGGGGGATCTGATTTCCAGAGCTGCCACACTGTATTATTAAAACATCCAGTTTTCAACACAAAATTATGAGAAATGGAAAAAACAGGAAAGAGTGGCCCACACACAGGGGAAAAAAGTAGTCTACATAGAAACTAAGGAAGCCCAGACCCTGGGCTTTCTCAACAAAGACTTAATCTACTGTTATAAATATATTCAAAGATCTAAAGAAAACCAGGTCTAAAGAATTAAAGTGTGAAAAGGATTTCTCACCA